AAAAGACTTTATTTTGAAGAGTGGTAGTTTATGTGGTGTTTGTCTATTTTCCCTTTTTGATCTGATGTGCGCCGCGTTGGTGCGCTTATTTATAAAAGGTGTATGGGTACAAGGTGGTGGTCTCCGCCAATGGGAACGGGTCTACCCCCTTGGATGGGCCTCTCTGGCCCACGAGCATGCCGCCCACCCTGGAATTTAGCGGTATGTCGCGATGGTGGGGGAGTGAGGCCCAAGGGTAGCCCGCTCGTAACGGGACTTTGGGCGGTCAGGGAGACGCGAGAGGTTTTATGACACGTCAATGTCTATTGAATGTTCACGAGTGGGCACCGGGAAGGTATGTGGCCCGCAGAAAAGTTATTTTTCTGCAGCCATAAAACGCTTCCTGGGCTTCGTGGCCAATTTGAAAGAAAAATTAATGAACGCGAAGAAAAAAAGGGGCGCATTCAAAAATAGCGTAAACGAGCATCCATGTCATAAACCCAATCCCTAACATAATCGATAACAACAAGTGTCGTTCTTTGTAATTTTGTCTCTTTCTTGAGAGTACAGAAAAGTGTCAGAAACTTTTGCACACCACTGTGCGCCCGAAATATTTCTCTACGCAAGTAGAACGTCGAATTCTCGCGAAACCAATGAAAACGTCGCTTCTTCGCCTCTGCGGATCATCATTATGAAGGCAAGGAGGCGCAGCTAAGTGAAGTGGCTGCTAACAACTTCCAAACTCGTTTACTTCGCTCATCGTCGATTTCACGTGCAAAAAGCTCCGACTCTTTAGAACTCTAGCTAGGCCAGCCTCAATGTTTTCACGACGACGTGGATCTTTCGTTTATTAAACCGCGTAAACTGTGTATCAGCAGCGTGTGTAACATTGTGCAAGAAACACAAGACAGAGTGTAGTATTGAACCGTGTAATTTCCAAGCGCAATTTCCATATAGATACGAAAATATTTATCGCTGAAATTCCGCTAAAATTCTCCCTTATCGAGCGAACGCGCTGTGTCCCATTAGAGTTATTTGTCGCTGGATATTTATTCATGGAGATTGTGACGTATCTAGGTAAATGGGAGGAGCTTTCAAATGAATTTCGAATCGATCTGCTTAATTTATCGATGTGAAGGTGTCTTTTCAATGGGCAATTGTGTTGGATATTTATTTGTGATATACGTATAAGTAAGACGTAGGACAAATTTTCAATGAAATTTCAGTTTCAACAAATTTCACGACACACACTGTCCGATCATAATTATTAGGACACCCATTATAAGTTCGTGCAGAAAGTATTACATAATTTAAATTACATTTTCTTGCCAAAGGTGGTGTCATATAGACACTGACGCGTAGATTTTAGTAGATTTCAGTAGAATTCAGTTTCACTATGCTTCACATTCAATAAGTATCTTAATACTTATGAAGGGGAGTGCATGTATTGTGGCGTACTGTTCTGCAAATAATACAGAATGCTTAAAAAAGATGTTAACATTTACAGTGATCACAGTGATAACACAACATTAGCAAATGGAATTTGTGTTCAAAGAGTCTTCGCTTTTTTACCACCATTGTCGACACATTCTTAGAATCTTCTTCTCTTTTGCGAGGAAAAGAAAAGAAAATGTATAGACTATAAATTTTCCATATAAGTGTTAACATTTTATCAAAGCACCCTGTATATTTCAAAATGCAGTATTCGAATGATAGAATAAATAAACCATTATTTAAATCTTATACAAAAAAATACCTATATCCAAAACCAATCATTGAAATATTCCCAATCATTTCAATACCATTCTTTAGAAAATTTCGCTGCACCAATTTTCTCAATGTAAGATTCTTTACTACCCCTTTAAGAAACCTTTCCAGAAACGTCCAGTGAAGAGTAATTCTTTCACCTTTTTCGTTCCATAATAATAAATTCTAAGAAAAGCGTACTGTTAGCAACACGAAAATGTTGCAACGCCTTTGCCAAGCAATTTACGTCCCCTCGACTTCTGTCACCTTTATCGCAGCCAGCGATGTCCCAAATAGATATCAGCCCATCAGCCTGTTAGTCCGCGCGAATTACTGCCATCTAACCTTACCTCGAATCCCAGCCTCCGTAATGAAACGACTAAACATCTAACGCGATTCCTTACCCTGATGAAATCGAAGGTTTTCGTCAACATGACGATACAACAAGCTTTCTCCTGCCAGACCATCCGCCAGAATTCTGTCACAGTGTTCTCCATGGGTCCCTGAGTCACGATGTAAGCGTTCGGTTTCAATATACTCTGAAACATGAATATCACACTCGTCACTTACATTGCAGGATATTTTTCAAACGGTACTTTCAATTCCAACACTATGAAATATATTTTCTGCAAACTTTATTGTTCTACCATTTGGGATATGTTGAATACACAGGGTATTTCTGAAATCGTGGTCGAACCGAGAAGGATGTGATTCTTCGTGTAAAAGACGAAAATATAGAATAAAGTTTGTTCATGTGGAGATCGGTTTTCGAGAAAATCAAGTTTGAATATTCGTTAAGTACGCGCGCACTCAACTAGCCGTAATTTGCTTAGTTTACCCAATCTGGCTAGCTACCTGTTATTTATGCTCATAAGCAGTATCAGTCAGGATTTGGTGTAATTATAAATATTTCAGGTATAATAGTCAAACTTGATTTTCTCGAAAACGAAGCTTCATATGAACAAATTTTATTCGGCTTACTTTTACACGAGGAATCACCTCCTTCTCAATTGTACCACGATTTCAAAAACACCTTGTATATTTTGCAACATTCATTATTCTACAATTTGGAATGTATTACAATATTTGGTTAATTATAATGTCTGGGATATATTGCAAACAATATTGTTCCACAAAATCAATTCACGTTTCATGCAAGATTAGTCCTGGAGGGGGAGAACCTAACCTAATTGATGAGTACTAATTTGCATGAAAGTTTGTTGGTGTTTTTTGCGGAAACTATGCGGTGATTGTTTTGAAATTTTGAGAGTAGTTTTTTTGTACTTATAGACTGTTGGATTATAAAGAGAAATGAGTATGTGTCTGTGTAATAGTAACGGCAAAAATAATCAACATACTGAGACAGATTAATATAAATATATATATATATAGAAATAACATAGTAACCATCTGTTTAGTATGGGTGACGCTGATATGTTTTTTTTTTCTCTCAGTGTCTTGTCTATGTTTGTTTGATCGTATAGCGACGTGTCTTCCTCGCGTATCAGAATAAAGAAGATTTATAATTAAAACAATATCTTTTATTTATTACCATAATTCTAACATAGACTAAAGAAAGAACAATTAGTTAGTTAAAGTGAAAGTTTATTTAAGGAGTTATTTAAACATGTCAGGCCGTATTTTTAAAATGTTGTTGCACGTCGTGCAGAGTAGGGGCTGCTTTATTCAACCGAGACAAAAAATCAAAGAAGGTTCTGTTCAACTTCAATTTACAAAATGGCGGCAGTTTGAATAAAAAATTTTGATTTTCGCCGTAATTTTTCACTTCAATGTGCAATTAAGCACATTCACTCAAACAATTTTATTATTTTCTGTGGTTCGCCCTCTGAAGGAGATTGTTAATGCCCGTGGTTGTGGCGATGAACTTTCGAGCCTTGTAGATGTTTGCACGATGTTGTGCCGTCTAAATACTGGTTCGAAGGACCACCCAAATGATTGGGACTTGTAAAAACTGATCTATGGTATCGCGTGATGTGAGCTGGTTGCTCCTTGGTTCTCCTTGTTCGTGGTGGTTGAACGACTACTCGACGACTCACTCTCCGACGTCGCGTCTCGGACGTCCGTGAGAGGGATTTTTGTTGGGACACGCTGATTGGTTAACGGTTAACGATTGCATTTGCCAATCAGCGTAACTAATATCGTCTTTACCGCCCTTCCAGTGCACCCTTAGCGCGCTGTCACCTTGGAAGGGTGAGAGACGGTCGCGAGGGGTGG